ACTAATAAACTAACCAACACAAATAACTAAAACAATCAACCAAAATGTGAAAACAAGAGATCAGGACTAAGATAACTAAATGAACACTAAAATAAAAGCAAAAAGACAAAAACAGACCAAATCCAAAAACAAGGAGCAAGACAAGAACCTAGAATTACAAGAGACAAGACTAGATCTCAAGAACAAACAGACAGGGGAGGGAGGGAGACAGGAACACATACTCAACCGCATCCACAGACAGAGACAAACACAGTGAGGGAAAGAATGACCACGAACCAGCAAGGACAATAGGGCAAGGGGCACTATAAATAGGGAGGAAAACACATGAGGAACAGGTGAGAGCAATTACACTAACAAGGACTCAATGAGGGTGTGGTAATGAGGAAACCAGGAGGAGGGGCTAAAGAAGCACATGGCTGAGAAAAACAAACAACTAGGCCATGTGCTGACAAGACAACATAGACACAAGAAACAAAACACAAGACAACCAGAGTGTCAGGGCAAAACCCTGACAGTGCATTGGCAGGGCAGTGCGGCTCAGCTTTCTGTTCAACATGCAGCTCTACACCGGCCAGCATGCAGTTCATGTTCAGTCCTTGTCAATAATTACTTTTGATCTACATATTGCAGTAATAGCAGTGATCATGTGCAAAGTAAAACTGACATTACAGACATTTCATGGTGACCACACAAAATGTGTCATGGAAATGAATGACTGAATGAAATATTTGCCTACATGCGTCTGCTTTGGGCTTAAGCTGTTCAATATATTGTATTTAGTATATTTACATTTGTTGGTTGTACCAATAGTAATAGGATTGTGGCTTGTGTGCAGATTTACATCAGGACCCAGATATATCTGTTTCTCCTGTACAGCAGAAAGGTAGTAATGAAGCACACTTAACCCTATTGTGTCCAGACACAGAGGGTCGTTTACAGTCTAACATTGAACATAAAAGTCTGGCCACGTTGCAGAATGGGAGGTTCTCTGCAGGTTGAGGGAGTTGTTGAGTCAATATCTGAAGAATTACAACATCTTACGCATATTCTGGGCATCTTGCAACAACAAAACCTTCAATGCCAAGATTACAATTGATTACAATTATGTGTCATTTAGACCTTTTAATAATAAAAACCTGCAGTATTACTTTGACAGGCTAGTGATTTGTAAATTCTCTTCATAACATTTCTCTTTAAAAAATTGTCTTTCAATTTTTTTTTTTTTTGAGGCTGAGGTTTTGTAAGAGCATTTTCATCTGTGGTTTTCCATGTGCTCATTGAAATCGATTAGATGTTAAAGCTTCATGACCACTATATGATGATGTCAGATAAAAAAAAAAATATGATCTGATATATCCTGATATTTAAAGGACGATCATGTATTGCGAAGTATTTTAGTAAAGATTCTACTAATTTAGTTGATTCTCAAAAAATACAATTGCACAGTTGGATAAACAAAACAAAAAAACGAACAAACAAACAAATAAACAAATAATGGTTGATTCTCAGAAAAGAATAAAATGGCACAATTGGACAAACATGCAAACAAACAAACAATGGTTGATTCCCAGAAACATGACTGGACATACAAACAAACAAATAATGGTTGATTCTCAAAGAATATAATATAGACATTTTTGTTTATATTAAAGATGTAGTACAAATTGTGGATTCTCAAAAATATAATGAAGTTGCATAATTGGACAAACAAACAAAAACAAATAAGTAAATAATGGGTGATTCTCAATAGCCTAAATAATTAAATAAGATGCATGATTGGAAAAACAAACAAACAAACCAACAAACAATGTTTGATTTTCACCAAAATTGGATGATTGGAAAAACAAACAAATAAATAATGGTTTATTATCAAAAAATTTTTTTTGCATGACTGGACAAGCAGAAACAAACAAACAAACAATTGCATAAATATACAATATATATATATATATATATATATAAATAAATAATCTCAAAAAATAAAAAAACAAACCATTCGTTTTTATTAGGAAAATCTTTGGAATCACAGTGTGAATATTAAATAACACACAGAGGCTCTTGAGTGTGCAGCTGTAATGCACGCGCATTGAGCTCCCAGACTTCCCATAATGCTCCAGTCACGTGGCTCACTTTATGAAGCTAGACTGTCAAATCTGAAACTTCCTGGGGTGCGATGCAGTACATGCAAGTCCGTGACATTTTCTTCAGCCATGTAACTCGTCAAAGGATAGCGCGTTTGTAAAGAGTCAAGCTACTTGTTTGAGGAGGATGTGTGTGTGCTGACAGCGGCACGAGCGGCGAACCAGCAGATCCTTATATCTGAGTAAGAGCACGCCATGAAGAGATCAGGTAAGATCGGCAAGGATTTAGTTACACGAGTGTCGTGTGCGTGCGTGCGTGTGTGTGTGTGTGCGCGCGATATAAAGTTGTTTTGCATGCATGTTAACGAGCCGTCAGTCTGAAACATTACATTCGATGGTTGTTTTGATGGCTCGAGATCCATTCACTCATGTTTTTACTCAGAAAGTCACTACTCAGTTGTATTGATCTTCAGTTCATACTGTACAGTTCAGATGTTACGAGTTAGCCTACTTATTAATAGTTTTATGATGTCATGTACTTCTACTGCATCTTTACGAAAAGATCTAGATCTCAGATTACAGTGTGTTTGTCTTGGAAATGTATACATATGGTATAGTGATAGTAATACATAGCCTAGTGCTTTGATGTATATCATGCTTTTGAATGGTTATCATATGCATACTAATTCAAGCTTCTCTAAAGAATGGCATTGCTCTAGCGCGGTACATGCATCATGGTACCACCATGTTTTCAGTTCTCTTCTTGGTACTTTGGGTTGTTCTTGAGCGTGTCTTGTCTGTTTATGTGAATGGTGTTGAGAGAGTCAAAATTCAGTACTTATTTGGCACTGCTGCTTATTACTTTGGAATTTTCCACTACTGATCTTCTGCTTTTCCTATTTTCTCACAAAGTGTGTTTTTCTTGCATAAACCAGTTGAGAACCAGCTGGGTTGACAGCTTTACCCAGCTAAGACCAACGAACCATCCTTGGCTGGTTTTAAGATGTTGTTTTCAGGAGGGTAAAATAATATAGGCTACTACATATCATTTTTTAAATATTATTTAAAACAAAAAAAAATCCACACTGTATATTTACAGTTTGTGTGATGAATTGACATATGGATGTGAAACAGAAAATATTTACCTAATAAATAAATATAAAGTAAATATAAAAGTGTAAAGAATTTTTTTTCTGTTTTTCATAAGTTTAATATATTTGAATCTATATATTATGTCAGTATGTAACTATGTTATGGTTTGAGGACAAGAGGTTTTAGGGGGAATGAGCAAAAATGTGATGTCAAATTTTGATAAATAGAAGGAAATGCGACATTCGTGTTAAGAACAAGCTAGTGATTATCATCAAAGTGGATGTGGCAAGTAAAGTTGTGGGACATGCTTTGAAAAAAATCGGACAAATGAAAGGGAACGAGCTGCAAACAAAAACAATTGTCAAGACAAGTAAATCTGGATGTTTCAGACAATCTGGGCTGGTATTCACCTAAATTAAGTCCATTTGGAAATGTTCAGTGAGAGTAATTATTTCTTTCAGCAGGAACTGTAACACAGCTGTTGTCTAATACACAGATGTTCTGACTTCTGATCCACATGTTGCAGCAACAACATCCACCTTACTGTAAACAGCATTATGACAATGTTCTGACTAAACTCTCCCTGGATGACTACACACAGTTCTGGCTCTCTCATTTCCTCCTGCTTATTAATACAGCACAAAAATTACTATTCTGTCATCATTTACTCATCCTCACGCTGTTCAAAACCTTTATGTCTTCCCTTTCTCTGTGGAACACAAAAAGAGAAGTTTAGCAGAATGTCGGAGCTTCTCTCTTCCACACAATGAAAGTTTTTAAGTATCAAGTATGAAATTTAAATCATTATCCACTGAAAATCTTGTCTTGACAGCTGGGGTCACTATTCACTGAATGAATTTCTCCTTTTGTGTATTGTAGAAGAAGGTAAACCGAGTTTCAAAAGACATACCACTGTTGTTTTCAAACACCTTTGTGCGCAAAGCCACTTTTTGAACCTAATAATTTAAAGGTAATAATGCCACAAAGGTGATACTCAAGTTTCTCAAGCCTGAAGAGCTGAAGTTCCTGAGCTTTCCCACATCCATCCATCCTATCAGGTTTAATACGGAAGTTTTTATGGGTGCCCAGTCAAGGGTTGCTTTCAAAGAGCTCTCTATTTTGTAAGCCCAGAAAGCTTTTGTCCCTTGGCTTGTGACCAGTCTTTTGGAAAGGGGCAGCTACATTTTCCAAAGATCTAAGCAGCAAAAGAAAACACTCTTTAATAAAGCTCTTTTACATATTTTTGATAGCTGATACTAGGCCTGTCAAGATAACTTTTTTTTTTGTTGTGCGATTGCCCTAGAAATAATTGCTATAAGCGATATTATTGTAATTTTAAAGACCATTTCATGCCACTGAATATATATAATCATAATGTAACAGCATAATAATGCAAGAAGGCCTACACACTTCCAAATGACAAGAAACTTTTAATTTTTAAGAATATTTAGATCATGGAAATTAAGTATCAAAATATTAGATACCTTAAAAAACTTGAATAAATAGTAAATAAACATTTTCTAACAAAAAGTGCAAAGTAACAAGTAGAAAAAAAGAAAAATGCACAAAGAACTTGTATGGAGATTTTTCCATCTACAGATTTTTCCCTGACCTTCTTTTCTCTGTAAATGAAGGGTGCGCACTATTGCTGAAAAACACAATCACTACTTAGCAGTCAGATGTTCGTATGCACAAAAGCACAGATCCCTAAACAAGGCCATATCTGCAGATGAAACGTTTTTTGTAGAAGCATTTTTTAAATTTGAACTAGCACCTCATGACTACACGTTATGTACGAGAATCTGCAAGAGACACAGGCGCACGTGGAATGTAAAAAACATGGTGACATTAATTTTTAAGTAAATATAATGTGCGATATATTGCATCACCAAAAATGATTGAGGTCATGTAAATATATTGCGCGATAAGTCGATATATTGATTATTGTGACAGGCCTAGCTGATACCATAAAGGATGAAAACATAATTTGATGCAGCAGTCTTGAATATATACATATTTATATTTATAAGTAAATAAATGAATATTTGTTAAAATGTACACTTTTATGTGTGGCTTAAATGTTGAAACACTTTTGGGGCTTCACTTTTGTGGGTCAAAAATGTGTATAAGAAATACACTGTATTAGTTCTATGTATAATTTCTCATATACTGATGCAGATAATTAGTTGATTAAAATTAAAAAATAAATGGTTATATTTCTGACAAAGTTTTGGAACATTTTTATGAGTAGATGTTTCATACCAGTCATATGGTTATACAGTTAAACCTATACGTGTGTTACTATTTTTTAAAGAGTAGTGAAAGCAACTTAAAACAAGCCAACAGGTATTTATAGCATATAGTTGGATCTTCTCAGATTGTTCTGAGTTTGTATTCATAGATCTCTTCCCCTCTTTTCACTTGCTCTTGCCCACGTTCACAGAGAATAAAGCTATCAGCTGTCATTCTGCCAAACATTTTAACCACAAGCTCCCAAATATTTGAAGTGCATTAATGGTCCATTTAGATTATTTAGTGTAAGGGTTTGTTGCATATATACAGTGGTGTGAAAAAGTGTTGGCCCCCTTCCTGATTTCTTATTTTTTTGCATGTTTGTCATACTTTAATGTTTCAGATTATCAAACAAATTTAAATATTAGTCAAAGATAACACAAGTAAACACAACATGCAGTTTTTAAAGGAAGGCTTTTATTATTAAGGGAAAACAAAATCCCAAACTACATGCCCCTGTGTGAAGAAGTGTTTGCCCCCCTGTTAAAACTGTGCAACCCTCTACATTGTGAGTAAATCACTCGCATATGCGACTAAATCTTCACTCTGGGCGACTAAATGATGTCTAATATTAGCCAATGGCTAATATATTCTCAGATCTTACTCGCAAGTGTGTGAGTTAGAGGCTGAGTATATGATTAGCACATATATATTTTCACTCACAGAACATCTGACTGAGCGCTTCAGAGTTTCACTCTCCGTCAAGCGATCTGTGATATTTTTCAGTTCATTTGAATGGATGTGCAGTGCACCTGTGTTTGTGTATTTGGCGTAACGTAAACTCTAGTGTGAAGGCGCACGACTCGCCGTCGCTTTCTCTCAAACGCGCAAAGAGCGAGAGTCTTACATAACATGTAGAATTGATGCGCTTTGTTGTACTTTACTGTAAAAATAAGATTTAAAAACTGCATGTTGTGTTCACTTGTGTTATCTTTTACTAATATTTAAATTTGTTTGATGATCTGAAACATTAAAGTGTGACAAACATGCAAAAAAATAAGAAATCAGGAAGGGGGCCAACACTTTTTCACACCACTGTATGTGTGCGTAAGCGACATTCATCATTCAATCGGGTTAAAAGGTTGAAGTGTTGTGATTGAGGAATGGGATTACTGTCTCAGACTGTCTGTCTGTCACGACCACTGTTCAGCTAAATCCCTGCCTGCTGAAATATTAATGCAGCTCAATTATGTGATTACTCCGTTACCCTCAGCTGATGATGAATTGTCTGTATTCAACCCCTCAAATTCAGCTTCAGTGATTGGAGGTGGCGGTTAGCATGAGCCTTCATTCAAAACTAAAGTAGAAATGGTACATCTGAGTAATTCTGTTACTTTTTTGTTGTTGCTATTCATTTGAATGAATATGAAGTCATTGCTTCATGGGCTTCAAAACCCATGAGATTTCTATAAAGTAAATAGATTAGTTTAGGCTAACAGTGCTATCTGTCGTTTTGGCAAGTAAAAAGGATATAGTCTAATTTTAATTTTTTTTACCACAGTAAGAGATGGAAAACGGGGATTGACAAGAAAATAAAACTGCGACATTAGAGGGTGAGAAGGTGAAGATTTGGGAAAAGAAACAATAAATATTACATTTGTGGAAATTCGTGAGTCGTGACCAACCCGTAAAACAAAGCTCAAAGGGTTAATGGGTTAATTTAAATGTATGGCCTCATAGGCTACCTCTTAAACGGCATGAATCCAAAAGCATGGTTGCGATGTAACATTTGCCTTCTAACCAGTTATGTCTCTTAAACAAAGCTTTGTACCTCACTTGTGTCATTATATTCACATAAAAAGGTTTCATATGAGCAACTGTGTTTTGCCATAGCACCGCCTGTGGAAGAAGAGGTTCACTGAGCGCTGGCACGGCCCCATGTGCCGTCGTTACGTTTGGGATCATTTTATTTTAAATGGTGGTAATGTCAATTGCAAACATTGCGATTGTGTTTTAAAATACAACAACAAGCACCATGAAACCATTTAAAAAGGCACATTCAGCGGTCTCTGTGACAGGTTATGAAGAAACCAAATAGCGTTGAAACAGGAAGTGAAGTAAACAGAAGAGAATGACAAAATAACGGTCCACATAACAGAACATAACCCTGACAATAAGATCGTTAGGCTATAATTAGCTTATATGTATAGCAGTTAGCCTAGTTGTAATCTGATCTTCTAATCTGACTGGACAAGAGACTTTCTATTGATATTTCCACCAGCGCGCGTTCTAGACGCGTTCTAGACGGGCTGTCAGTCAGTGCAGTTACAGTGATGCGCCACAAGGTGGTGGAAAGGGACTGTCATTCAACTACACGTTCAAAAACGCTGATTCATTCATTCAAAGAGACTTAATGAAACACGCTGTTGAAATCATTTTAACTTTGAGCGCCACTTTAGAAGGCTCAGCTCTGCGGTTTGCTCGTTAATAGCACGGTATTGCGGTTATCGCGACAGCCCTAGTTATGAAACAGCCAACAATAACCTGCATTTATAGTAAAATGAACCCAAGCATAACTACGGTGCGCTCTCTTTATTTTATCAAATGATCATAATCACATCAATACATTTTACGATCCTACTACTAACCTTTTATTTAGACTAAAAAACCCTTTCGTTCAAGTGAGGAGGCTGGTGTTTTGAGGAGCATTTGCACATCCTTTAATGCTGGTGACTATATGCCACTGCAATAGATGCATTTTGCAGTATTAAGGTTAATGATTAATCAATTAATTGATTGGTAATTTAAACGACGATCGATCATGGGAACGATCGAAAATTGACATCCCTAATTTACATACAGTATAGGTGTTACGGAGCTGATGAGACGTGAGACGTGCGGATCCATTCGCAAAGCTTTTATTGTGGAGAAGACAGAGATGTGGTCATAAAGCAGGCAGGGTCAAACAGAGGCAGACAGGTATATGGCGGGCAAAACACAAGAATAATCCTAGGGCTAGCGTGGGTCGATGAACTGCAGACAGAATCAGAAGGGGCAAGACTAAGGGAGAAATCCAGGAAACCAGGCGAAGATCAGAAACCGAGAAAGCGGCTAAGGCTAAGGCTAAGGCTAATAAGGCTAAGGCTAAGGCTAAGGCTAAGGAAACGACTGAGGGCTCTGTAGTGTAGCTATCGCTAAGGCAGCAAGTCACTGTTAAGTGAGTCATTGCGATTTAACCGAATCATTTAAACGGTTGATTCATTCAGAAACAAAACGTCATGTTGCTCAGAGACGCAAAACAGTGCTGTGGCTGTGTTTGGAATGTTTTTTGTTGGTGAAATAGCACAGAAATAGAGCAAAAACAGCCAATATGTTGTCTAAAACGTAAGTCTCTAGATATTAACTTATTGTTTATTGAACTGTTGTATAAAATAAATATCACATTTGTAACCATGCTGATTTTTAAAGAAAAAACGGCACTCTTCGTGTGATATTGATTAACTATATGAACTGGTATAAATATATACATTTTCTGCCTCCTTAATGGGATATGTAGTCCGGGGTGATGTGCAACAGTGTGTAGTGCGAGAGTCAATGAAATTGGAAAGGGTGACCTCTGATGGCTAGCAGAAGGAAGTTCATGGACTGGATTCATGACAATAGGTGAGGAAATAATAGGTGAATTATATATAAAGTTTTTTGAAAGAAGTCTCTTCTGCGCACCAAGGCTGCATTTATATGATCAAAAATAGAGTAAATATTGCAATTTAAAATAACTGTTTTGCATTTGAATATATTTCAAATTGTAATTTCTGTGATGGCAAAGCTGAATTTTAAGCATAATTTCTCCAGTTTTCAGTGTCACATGATCCTTCAGAAATCCTTTTAAAATGCTGATTTACATTTAGTCATTTAGCAGACACTTTTATGAAGTATGTGATCATTGGTAATGCATATTAATAGACTGAATCATGCAGCGAAAGAGCGCACTATAAAAGTGCACTCGCACTAAAGCCTGTGTTGGTCTAACCAGACTTCATCACGTCGCGTATGCACGCCTCTGTAGGTGTGTTTTGTAATGCTTTTGCAATATACTCGATAATGTCATGATGTCTCACGTGTTCAGTATTTGTGCTAAACCTGCACAGATTTGACCTGTTCAAAACCAACATAAGGGCAATAATATGTAAGTGCTGTGACAAGTCTCAGTTAGCCTAATGCAGTACACGTAGCAAGGTTTTTTTAAATAATAAAAAGAAAACAAGTAGATAGAATAGGGAGCGCTAGTGTTAGAGGGTCTTTCTTCTTCTTTTTTTTTAATAATAAAAGTAAAATAAGTCAAAAGAATAGAGAATGCTAGTGTTAGAGGGTCATTTTTATATAAAATAAAAAACAAGAAAACAAGAAGATAGAATAGAAAAAGACTAGAGAATGTTAGAGGCTCTCCTTTGTTTAAAGAAAACAAGTAGTAAGAATAGAAATATAATAGAGATTGCAAGGGTTAGAGGTTTAAGTGTTAAACCTCTAAGTGGTAGTGTTATTATTAATGTTGAAAACACTTGTGCTACTTAATGCTTTTCTGGAAACCATGATACATTTTTTTCAGGATACATTGTTGGGTTGGGCCGATAGACGATCGCATTCTCTCGCAGTTATATCATTGGGTAATTATACTATATATAGATTGCGGACATCAGGGAGCCGCTATTATGCCTGACATTGAAACTGCTTTTGAATGCAAGATTGCTTTTTAGTTTCACTTTCACTTTCGAGATTTGCGATCGCACGTATTCTGTTTATACATGGAGCAGCAGTACAAGAAATGAATGAGTGAACATAATTTACGAAAAGTAACCCGCCAAATTGGCTAGTGATTTGACAGCGTTACCCACCACAGCTGATGCGGGTTGGCTGGTGTTAATTTCAAACCCTGCTTACAACACATTTTACAAGATTAGATGTTTGTCAGTGGTGCTGTGGATCTGCAAATCATTCGCCATGTCCTCAGTCATCTCTCATTGGGTAATTATACTATATATAGATTGCGGACATCAGGGAGCCGCTATTATGCCTGACATTGAAACTGCTTTTGAATGCAAGATTGCTTTTTAGTTTCACTTTCACTTTCGAGATTTGCGATCGCACGTATTCTGTTTATACATGGAGCAGCAGTACTTACAACCAGGGATTGAAATTAACTTTTTCACTCACCAGCCAATTTAGCTACTAAATTTTTAAGTTACCGGCTATTCATAACTTCTACTAGCCAAAAAAATAAAAAAAAGGAATACACCAACAGTTTGAGGCCGTCTACACTGGGCATGACAAAGCGA